GAACCTATCCGTAGGGATCGGGTTGCTTTCTATTTAACATTCCTTTTTCCCTGGCTCCTTGTTTCACCGCGCTTTTAAACAAAACACACATTTTAACAGCCGTGAGCGGGACGGCTCCGAGCAGCTGGGAGACTCGGGATGCGCCGTGGCTAACACAGCAGCAATTTTCTGATATATTTATTTTTTTTTTTTTCTCCTTTTTCCCTTTTCTTTTCCAGAACCTGACGCCAACTGCTGCAGTCGGGCTTCGGGACAAGAAGTTGCTTGCAAGAAGACGGAGCCGTGGTGCTCCGCCGGCCCCGTCAGCAGATTCCTGACAACCCCAGACCCTCGCCGCGGGGATTTGGCCGTCCCAATCCAGATACCCGCCGTTGGCACGGGGTGGTGTGTGACCCACGCTGCCCGAGGGCTCCGCGTTCCACGCCTTCCCCTCCCCGTGGAGCCGAACGCCGCCGCCAACGCGCCGGGATGTCGAAAAAGCAAAACGCGAAAGGTGAGACGCGCGTGGACGCGGCGCAATCCAACGCCAATAAACAGCACTATTGATTCCAAAGTTAGCAATTAGGAGCGGGGTTAATTGCTTTGGCCGTGCTCCTCGCGAGGCTGCGGGTGTCACCTGACAGCTTCTTGTCACTCTCGCCGTGACATCGCGTCACCTGCTGGGATTTGTGACATTTTTAGCAGCATTTCGGTGTCCAGCTGGACAGTTCTGCTCTCACCAGTTCCCGTGTGATGAAAATGTTGCATCGTTTTCCCCGTCAGACTGTTGGGGGGAAAAAAAAAATACGTTGTTTAGTGGTGGAAGAGTTACGGAGCCAAACTTTTTAATGGTGTTACTGGGGTCCCCCAGCTGGTGCACCACATCCCCTCGCTGGGTGCGGGCAGGATGAATTTGAGCGGAGTCTGGGTCTCTCCTGGGATTAAACCGGGCCCACCCTCTCGGAGCGCCCCGTGGGCGCCGAGGTTTTGGGACAGGCTTCTGTCTCCGGCTTGTTCATCCTGCCTGTGGCAACTGCTTGCCAGGGATCCCATTAAGGAACGAGCCTTGGAATCCAGGTGGGACAGCTCAGCTCGGGGCCGCGACTCGAGCCAGACCTAATTAAATCTTCCGAGATGGGCACAGGAGGAGCTGCTTCCCTTTGTCTTCCAACAAACTGCTTTTCCTTTCCCTATCCTTGCTCGTGGGGTGGCCAAGCAGCTTATTCCAGCGCGGAATCCTATTTGTCGCCCCCGAAACGTTAATTCCAAAGCGTGCGTGCGGTGGAGGGAGAAGGGGGGCTGCGGGTTACGTCTCTCTTTTTATTTGAACTGACTACTAATTAATAATTTAAGGCAAACGGGTTTGAGAATTCATGTCCTCTACCTCAGGAGAAGAGCTTTTGTTCTCTGTAGGTTGTATTTTTTTATTTTTTTTTTTTCCAAGCAGCTTTGGCATAGAAACGGTGCGTACCTGAGGAGCCCGGCCGTGCTCCGACAGCCGGATCCATACGTGATTCGAAGCAATTAGTAACTGTTACGGAAATTGTTGTGCCGGGTAATTTCCGAGCGATTTTTTCCAAGGCTGTGTTTGTATCCGTGCTCTTGGAAGCCTCACTACCAGTCATTAAGAAATTGACTTCTCCGGAAGCGGAGCGCGGTAATCGTCGGTGCCGAGGACGTGTGGAGAGAAAAACACCCCTTGAAATGGCAGGAAGGGTTAACGGGCCGAGGTAGGGGAATGGCAAGAGAAATCCATGGGAGACAAGTGGGGAGCTGTTACCTGGAGGGAACGGGGGGAACCGGAACAGACC